ACATCGGTCTTCAGAGTTCAGAGTGATGGACCGGCCAATAAGGAGTTCGTGAAAGAACACTGAGTCTTTTCTAAAGCTATTTGATCCTTTCTACGCAGATGCTTATGGATAATTGTGCAGTACCCCAGCATAGGTCTCGAGAGAAACTTAAACATTTCTAGTCTCGCTTCAGGTAGAACAAAGGATTTGGTGCTACAGGCTTTTAATTGCTTTACCTACGTCAGCTGATATTAGACATGCTCGGATAACTTCAGAGAGGCGGAATATATTACTCCAAGGCCCCTAATTGAAGCGGAGTGTGGGAGGTTTGTACCTGCTAAGGCTTTGGAGTCATCCGGTATGTAACATCCATACCCAAGCAATTGCGAGCTTTCAGAGGAGAATTACATGGACAATTTTTACTCCAAGCGTCCAGCGCAGATAAGTTCTGGAGTATGTACTCAAGGCCCGACTCAAGGATATTGGGTGGAAATGAGTAGACGAGTTTACTATCCTCTACAAAGAGGTATGATCGTCCATGTTTGATTTAATCACATATTATATTTATCTACGTCAAGAAGAGTAGTGTTCCAAGGATAACTTTGCTTGTAACTTCTCTGGTGGAGGAGATTTTTTGGCCTTTTTTTAACGTTGTTTTAACGTTTTTACTCGGGAGATTGTCACTCGATGAGGATACCGGGCTCGGACCATTTTTATTTTTACAAACGATATGGATGCTAGAAATAATCGCTATGTTCCTCGAAAATTGTCAACTAACTGCTCTGGAGGATCATGTTTTCTACGTTTAGTTACCAAAATTGTGGTGTGTCATGATATTGCAAATTTCGTGCCGTGGTTGTTGACTGACGATCAGGAAGCGAGACGTGTTGAAATCAGCTGGGAAGCGCTTCCCGTTGCCACTGACAATAAAAAATTCCTTATATACCATATGCTACTGCGTGGACGTATGGCTATGCTATTGAAAAGAAGTTGCAGTGGTGGCAGTTTATAAGGAAATGTCCTCGTCCCAAACGCAGGAATGAGTCGGTCAGGGATCACATATTTGCAGGATGTATATTTTAAATGCACAAAATTGATGAGAACAAGGAGACCGTCTGGTGAGCAATTACTTAACGTTTCATCATCATAGCAGAACAATTATCTATGGGGCTAAAAATGGAAAGAATAAAATCTTCCCGTTAGTACAACTGATAAATACGAAGACTCAAAACGAGTTCCTTACACGTTACGGAGTTTGACTTCAAGTCGTTGACCTCAGGATCCCTCGATTTCTCGATCCAGGGAAGCTGTAGATCCTAGACTAGGTATTTTTGTGAGTGTAAGCACGGTTGAAATAGAAATCCGTATAATATTTGTATCTCGGGATGCGGATTAGGGTATGCGGGTTTTCTCCGAGCTGGCTGATTTGACTGCAAAAGTTTCATCGTCAGACTAGATGACATCATCAGTACGATTTATGCGGGCCACTTGCAGATCCAAGTGATTATTGATCACTTGCTTCGAACGTCAGGAGTCGATTTGTCCACCTGAACTGACCGTGTAGTCAGCTCTCGCGTACTGTTGGCTAGAGTCTACCTCAACGAGGTTCCTTCGTCCAGTTGATCTGGGGCGAGCTATTCTTTTGAGCCTCAGTGTCTCATAGGCAGTGTCTAGATCCAAGTGCCTGTTGATTGAGTTTTCTGCCGAGTACCAAGCCTCGATGAACTCGTGTGCTTTTCGACTTTTTGCTTTGCCTATAATCCTGACATTCTCCAAATCAAATCGATGATTCTCGGCGTCCATATGTATCGACATCAGGGAGTTCTGGTCATGTCGGCGGATGGCTAGGTTATGCTCATGTAGCGTAATGCCGAGCTTTCTTCCTGTCTGACCCACATAGTATTTGTTACAATTTTTGCAGTGGATTTTGTAAATCACCCCACCTGTTTCTTCTATGCCAAGCCGGTCTTTGCCATTGAAGAGGTTGTCTCTGATGGTTTCTGTCGGCTTGTGAGCAACTCTGATTCCGAAAGGTCGTAGCAGTCTCGCCGCCATCTCAGAAATGCCATTGATGTATGGTAGAGTGATTGTCCTTTTATCTGTTTCTGATATTTGTTCTTGTGTCGACGGACTCTAGCCAACAGTACGCGAGAGCTGACTACACGGTCAGTTCAGTTGGACAAATCGACTCCTGACGTTCGAATCAAGTGATCAATAATCACTTGGATCTGCAAGTGGCCCGCATAAATCGCACTGATGATGTCATCTAGTCTGACGATGAAACTTTTGCAGTCATTTCAGCCAGCTCGGAGAACACCCGCATACCCTCACGGTTGAAATAATCGGAAGCAAATTACTTCGGCCGTCCTAAGTATACGAAGCCGTTGACCTTTCTATTGGTGGGGTGGAAGCTTGTATACAACACTAAAAGCACGCTTGAGCTCTACCTGATGCTCACTGTCCATAATATGAGCCAGAAGCGAACATTTAATGGCCCCGGTACCACCTTGATGCAAGCGACGTGAGCAACGTTCATTCACGTGTTTGGACAAATGCCGCTTCTGCTTGAAATTTAGTGAGAAATGAATGTTCGTTTCCTTGAATCAGCTAATATATTAAGCACGATGAAAATAGAGCCAAAAGCGTAAACAAGATCAATCACACCTTTACCACCGGTAGCCAATTTGATATCTTTAATCCAACCGCCAAGGATAAGCGAAATAGTTAAATTATTTCTTGTTTGTTATCAAACTAGGCTAGCAGGTGTCAGGCAAGTTGATATCCCTATATATTGATTAGCCTAGCATGACAAATTCTGACACCCTGTTTAAGAAAGTTACTAACTGAATTAATTCATAATTGTTGGGTTCATTTGGACTGCACAGAAAATAGTCAATTGCTCGCGTACCAATAGGTGTCAAAATTAGCCATGCGATCTCAAATGAGGGGCAGATAGGTGGGCATGTATACTGTGAGGTGAGCATACTTTTGCATTGTACATGGTGTAAACACTGCTTGATTTTTTATCTATTCTAACAATGTGAAATGTCTGTATAATAACAGAATAAGTCAATCTAACCCACACGATTAGACACATAACTTTGACATCAGACCTCTGTGACCAAAACTAATCGATGCTTAATAACGTAAACAAAATTTCGGTGACAGTGATTGTAATCTAACGGCAAGTATAAAATGTGGTAGAAAATCGATACGCATGTTGGCTCACTTAGGCATCAGAAGCCTCAGTTACATGTGGGATTCCTACAATTACGGGACTTCCCTCAGTAATTAATGCGCCAAATGATGGACCGTTTATCGTAAGAGGGAGACAGGAGTGATTATGAAATCCAGCAAATGGTATACTTGAACATAGATACAATACATGCGAATGGTAGCACGGTGAGGTCGCTTAAGAGCACCGAATTAGGAAGCAGTTATGTTACACAAGTGTTGAATGTGAACAGTGCTTGTAGCAGTGGAAGTTAGCTTACTAGTTGCAAAATGTCTGACGGCTTAGTCTGGGCATTTGGAATTTACAGGTTAACAAGTAACTGCAGATTGTAGCCATTGGTAACCATAGGAGAAATATTTGTTTCTTCCGAGAAATTTAAAAACGTAGTGGGACAAAGAATTTGGATACTGTTAAATGACATTCGATCTTTTTCCCCATTATGTAGTTAAACAGGTTCCGACGGTTCGAAATAAGTGGATCTATAACCGTGAGTTTAAAGGAGTGGAAAGTCAAACACATTAACTGGACGGAGACTAGATAACAAAGATTTTTTCTAGAATAATAAAGACAGCGGATAGAACTTAAAAGACTAGATCGAATGACTAAATATGCATCAGCGTGTGGCGGAGTTTAGGTGAATAGACTAACAAATGACAGGTGCTTAGTGGAGCATTTGCGTGATTAGAAGGGTCATTTCAAAACAATTGTTTAGTGGATTGCCATGCGAAATTCCGATGTGGACGGCGATTCGCCATGTATCTAGCCGCAGACAAATCGGTCATCGGGGCCTAAACTGCAGTGATAAGATGATGCGCATTATTTTCGGTGCAGAACACATCCGAATTACAAACTGGCAACATATTTTAATCCGTAAAAGATTGGTTGAACCAAGCTGAATGAATGTTAGCATAATGTGCGCAAAATTCCTGGTGAATTTCTCCAGACAAGACAAGATGACAGCAATGAACAAACTTTAAAATACTTATGCATGGACGACACAATACTGAGTTTAGGATTATCGTTTACTCGAAAGATGGATAACAATACAATTTAGGTACGTTAACTGTAAGCTCCTGAAGCTTTTGCTCACTTAGCAGAGCATTCAGCACGCTGTAAAAAGTAAAGGAAGGAAACAATTTTTAACACAGGGTTTCGAAACAGTAATTGCCTCCAAAAAATTGCCTTTACTGATCAGTGCTGTCCGTTTCTCTTCAAATTGATGAGTTTTGCCATGTTATGGTACACCACAGGTATGCGATGAACGGTTACAGATGAAGAAAATGCCGCCATCTTATTACCATAAAAGGATGTGATTTGATGATTAGTCAGACGCGTTCATCATCTTTGGGCCTAATGAATGTCCGATAATGTTACCATCGGTCCGGCTGTCCGGATGACCATTTAAGATCACGTTTCAAGCATTTCAACAATATAACTTCCTTCACTTATCCGGTTCGTACGGTATCATCCGTTATGATTGATTGCGGGTTAAAGATGCTTGTAGTAATCACCGCATCGTCCTGGCCATAACTTTATATGAAAGTACAGTACTTAGCTATACGGTGCTTGTTTATCATGACAAATCGTCCTAATCGCAATGTGTGAGTGACGGCTGCAGAATCACCTGAGTGATGTTTATGGTATCCATATAGTTCCTGCTCTGACAAAATCTGGATTCGCGATTGAATACAGCACGTCGGAGAATTGAACATGTGCACAGAGCGCACGCAAGCGAACATCAATATGGAATAGTCCAAATCACTCGTGTTTATCAATGCTCGGACGTATAAACCGCACACGCGTGGACACGGATGTGCGCATGTTTGTACACAGAGTTTGACTGAGCCAATTTCGTACCAAAGCTGTAGCCAGCTGTGGAAGTGCGTCTACGTTAAATATTTAAGCCGTTTGTAGACTGTCAAGAAATCATACATGACGTTGAAGCGTCTGCTTTATTGTTATTCTGTGTCGCACAACGTACCACAGCTTATCTAGTTTACGAATCCAAATGGTTATAAGTGTGCGAGAAAGCATGAAAAATATAAAAGCGCCTCTGCGTAACTTTCAAAATATGATGCTTTTACTGCTAGTTTGTTATTGGTCCACATTTGTGTACGCATCAATGGATCCCTATGACCCAGATGAGTGCATCACAATAGATTCGACCACTTCATCCGGGACAGTGTATCAAGGCAAGTTGAACAAAGCATTCGATGGAACGGAATGTCAACCATGGAGCGCACATCCCCATTTCTATCGATCTCACTGGTCGAAGGAGAAAGCCAAGCAGGAGCAGAATTACTGCCGAAATCCAGATAATGATTCACATGGACCATGGTGCGTGGTGCATAAGACAACTTTCAAGTACTGTAATGTACCTCGTTGCGGTAAGCAAAAATAAGTCACGCAGTAGAATTGATCATGTCTGTTGTGCTGTACCTTATTTCTCTACATTTAATAGCCGCCAAACTGCTGATTGTTTAATTCAGCCACGACCCTTGCAGTCTCGATACAAAACACACGAACCAACCGATGGATAAAGCCCACTAACTTCCAAACCACTAAATGCCAAACCTTGATATATCGTAAAGTTATATTCAGATTGGTTTCATATGCTGAGTTGATAGGAGTTCATAGAACCTTAGCCGATGAAATGTAAATGAACTTAACACTTAATAGATGTAGCAAACGTTACTGGTGGTTGGTCTCTAACGTCGCGTTCACTCTAATAAAGTGAACCTAGAACCTGAATGCAACTATCTACAAGGCCTGAAAAGTAAACTTTATCAGATTGACATGCTGCACACTACAGACTGCAAGTTGTCCGCTGCCAGGGAGCTCAGAAGCAATGTAACTGCAGGACGTGAGTACACCTTGTGGATTTTGATAAACCGTACTCACAGTTTATAACGCCACGTAAAGCCTTGTGAAACTACATGTATGGCGGCTTCAATACCTAACGGAGTAGTAATGCTTCCACTTTAATATTGAAGAGCAAGTCAGTTAACGTACATGGTATGGTACATCGTTTAGTGCTGCAATTGTCATTGTTTATACAAAATGTTGTTGGGCAAGCCCCACTTAATCGTTGAACTGCTAGTATATATGGTCCGTAATTGAGCCTTCGAAAGTATAAATCAATGGACAGAACACACGGAATATCATATCAAATGAAATCGTGAAACTAGTCATTAGCGTTCTTTAGGTAACATTTTACCCTTCATCACTGGGTATCTATCACAATTCAGTTATATTAGCTGTTTAAAATGGAAAGCACCACTACTAATTCTTCATGCTAAGGTGAGTATAAGTTATACAATTAATTGCACCTTATAGCTGCCTTCGCTTACCTGCGTTGATGAAAAAGTGAGAGGAAAAACTGACGAAAGGAATAATCGTTTCGCACGGAAGCTTTTGAATACTTTTTAGAGAAAATAACTTTTAAGCATTAAGCCAGAATAGTATTCGTGACGTCCAATTTAAGCAACTAAATATATATATATGTTCCATCATGTGGACTACGTCCCTATTAGATGAACCATCGCTTTTGCAGGGTTATGCAAAGCAAATGTTTAAGGGCAATATAAACTTTTAGTTTAAAAGGTGTGAGGACCGCACTTAATCAGTCTAGAATTCATTGCTATCGATAGCGTGCTATCAATGCTCGGGTAAGCTGTCTAATACTCTCTCAAAAATAGGAGCTCAGCTGGCTGTCAAGATATTGGGCGAGGTAAATTTGGATGTGTTCGCGGTTACCGAATTTCTTATCCTTGCTCTTTTCGGGGCTCGTTTGCCATACTTTGCATTTGTTGATAGTAGACATCAGCAGTCACCGTGGAATAGTTAGGTAGCAGTTCTTAATAGGTGACTCCTGGTCGATCCCACCAGACAGACGGCGTCACATTTCCAGCTATGTATTGTCCGTTCGTATGCCGCGATTCACTTGTGCCTCCTGCTAAGGTTTACATGTGGCATCCACTTCTCATCAATAGTAGCCATATTGTTCAACCATATGTAGTTGCGTCCCTGGGTGATTAATGCAACTGTGAGGTCACCGCGGTGAAAAAGCTGATAATCATTCAGAGCATGTAATTGCAGTTACTGAGCTTTGAGACCATTCCGGATTAGCGCAGCAATCAGTAAGCGATACTTTTTGAAAGACCGATGTAAAGCAACTTTACGCACAATTTATCTTCTGTTTTCCTCCACAGTGTCTTATACGTTGTTAAAAATCTCTATAGACTAGGTCCTTGACCTCAGCTTTTTGAAAATTCGACGGAAACAAATGACTCCATACCGTAACTTGAGACGCAGTGTCAATTACGTCACTCAGGTTCCGAAACTCGTTGACCGTTAGCGTCCTTCAGCAATACGTGCAACATCATGCGAATAGCCTGCGTAGTTTTGCCAGTACCGAAACCATTACTAAATATAGAATAATTGGATAATGCAAGACATTTGTTCCGGGATGGCCTGTTATTTACACATATTAAAGAAGCTTTAAGATGATTCCAGAAAATTCTGGAAGCTGAATGGAATTCCGAACAACATAATGTTTTTGGCAGCCGCATACGCGAACTGTTTGTCAAACACATGTTCTACGCAGTGGCACTTTGGTGAACCTTAGGGTGAATATCGCTCATTGAACTGATACATAAGGAAAACATTACGATTCTTTAGCACAAGCTCTTTTTGATCAGATTACATACGTATACAACTAAAATGATGAAAATGTTTGGTCACATCTGGTTTGGAACAAAATGTTTGACGTAGACTGATATACACGGACCAGGCCTCTATTGGCAGTTTACTACATGAATGGTTGCACCTCAATAGAAGGGAATTTAAACGAATGTTTAGCTTGATCTTCTGCAATTTTAACAAATGCACCGATTGTAGATGTGTTGAGTTGAGTCACTTTTCAGCGGAATAGCGCTGGTTGTTAAAACTGCAATGTTTGCTATTTACACGAGAGACATTTACGAATAAATTTATTCGCGACAATACTGCCTAGGAACATACAATCAATAAAATTGCCTTATCCTTGGAATATTAAGCTATTGCTAGCGTAACCCGTTATGTCGCGTCTAGTTTGTTAGATGCTGCGACTAATTTTGGGCACCCAGCAGTAGATTGGTGGGCCGAAATTTAGTTGAACGATCTATGGCCCATGAAGAGTAATTCTTTGCGCAAATGTTTTCTAATTGCATAATTTTGGCTGAAGTTTTTTGATCACGATTTCTTCTGTAGTGGCCAGCATAAGCTTTCAGTATCCTTTTGGACAGCGTTTCATTACAACTTAGAGTATTTCAAAGGAGTCATTCGTCTAGAAATGGTGTGCATTATTTATCAGGTGTTTTACAATTGAGCTGTGAACGGTTTTTATAGTACCGTGCTAGGGTGAGGCCGGGAAGCGTTCTGTTCTCGGCATCGAAATACGTCTGGTCGCATGTCCAATGTACCGTGCATTAAAACCACTGATGGGCGCCACAGTATAACTTCGGTGATCTAAGACTGCTATCCAGTCGAGTAGCGATGACGGTATTGGACTAGAACCGGCGGTTTGGAATGCTAATCCAAGCATCTATTCCAAATCTATGTTGGTTCCGCCCCCAAAGCACCTCACAGCAGATAGTGAAGAATTAGTAGTAACCTTAATTTGGAACATGATTTACTTTAACGTGAAGTTTGGTCAAGCTTGTCACTAGAACCGCAGCTAAAGCAGAGAATTGGTAGTTACTGTCTGCCTGCAGCGCAGTAATCAACGACTAGTTCCCACTAGTTTGCAATCCGTTCAAACAGTTCTTCCAAAGGTCTCTACTTAACAATACCGCTGGGATGAGCGTTGCCCAAAACCCGATAGCCTAGGGGTATTTGCTTCGGCTGATGTGCCGTTATACTGCATTTGTAGCAAAATATCAAAAATGTTATTTCTCAATATTTTATATGGTTGGCGGTATCCGGTTTCGGATTTGCCTGTCACTGTGGCTAACCACAGGACGCCTGTGCCTACACAGGGACCATGGGTGGCTTGCGCTGCACCACCCACAGCTCCAAACACACTCTTCATACCCAGTGTAAACCCGAAGGAATAAGACCGGTATGTATCTGGATGCGAGCCAGGTTTCACCAACGGAGCCAGACCACACTCCTTCACGGGCAAACACAAGCGCGCTGTATTTGGGGAATCAAGCGCACACAAGGCGGTGGTTGGACCGTAGTCCGCTCCACACTGACTGCATGGAACCGCTCTACGAGCCTAGCACGGCCACAAGGACCGTACACCTCGTCCCCTCCAGTAACGACCAACTGTCTCCTGGAGCCAGTATGGACGAGTTAGTAGATCAATAGACAGGTAGACACCTTGTCAACGTGCACATCAAGCGCAGCCACACCGGGGATATCAAGCAACAGCCAATCGCTTGCAACGGCAAGATGGAAAAAAATAAATCCTATAATGCAGACAGATACGGTGGCATAACTCTTCGCTAAATTAGCATATGAAGTAAGTTGGTTAGTAACGAATCCGCGATAAGTAAAAATTCTCCACAAGTAACTTAAAAATTCTACAAACGCAACAAAGTTACCGAAGATAAACGCAATTAGTCTAAGCAAAGTGGCCAGTTAATGGAAGATTATTCAGGTAGGAAGAACAAACCAACTAAAGTGTAATGAAATGTGTCCAGCGTAAAACGACCTAGTTTAAGTGTAATTTGGTTTAACCCATCTGCGGTGAAGATGCATCAAGAATCCAACATCAGCCTCAGCATGAGGCACCTACGTACTTTCATTTCACATGTTCAGTGATCGTAGAGTTGCACGCATTTGTTTCAGACATAGAATGTTCGTTTAATAGATATGAAAGATTTCTGCATGTCCAGCAGACAAGCAAGTAGATTACAGAGTATCACATTTTCTTCTTTTTAGTGGATGAAAGAGTGTATATGATTTGGCGTAAAATAAGTTCGCAAGATAATTATTTTACGACTCATTTCCGTGTCATCTGCCAACAACGTAACCGATTTTATCTTATCCTATATGATCGCTTTTTGAGTAGATGCCCTATGTTTCAAGAATTTTCTAGGCTTTTGCGTCCCCGAATTTATTCGATAATTTGAAACTTTGTGTTGATGTTAAGCTTTCTATCATTCTTCAAGTGTTTGGGTAAATTCCACATGATGGTTTTCTTAGCGTTGCAGTGAACCCAGTCTGTTCAGCTTATAAGTGGTTTTGTTACAGTGTATATAAACGGTCTTAGGGAGTGGCTTTTATTTTTAGCTTGCACGGTAGTATATCTATATATATGATGATATTGTTCATGCATACATTAGAGACAAAGACCATATCAAGTTAGGGAAAAAGTCGATCCCAGCAGTTCACAGTATAA